TACTTAATTCGCCATGAATGTCGGAAGCTTCGGAATACCCGTGGACGACACGACTTAAAAACCACAACGTGTAGCACAACAAACTGCTACAAGACAGACAGAATAAATAAATAAACGATTGCTCTAACCAGGACCAATGCATTCTGGTTCTCTCACAACAAAGACTAACGACTGTTCGCATGTGGTGATCAAGTAAAAAGGGGGAGACGTTCATTCAACCACAGATTCAGACTAGGCCAAACGGATTCCTCATGCATCCTCTATACGAAACTATGAAAGGTCCGTATCGTAAAACAACGTGGGAACGGTGAACCTATATTTACGGAATATTTTTACACAGCAATCAATGAAGCTTATGATCCTATGTTATTCTGTTTAAAAAACCCAATTGCTAATAAAGATCACTTTACCACTCATTGAACACACACTCGTTGAAAGCTTAGAGTAAATTTTATAAACAAAAGGAAGAGATCCAACTCTTCCTAATCAGACGAAGAATGTCAGCGAAGCCGAGTCTCTCAAATGGGAGACAGAATGACAGTGACATGCAGAAAAATTTTAAACCGGATGATGTTCCACTGCTAAAAGCTGCATTACATTTCTTTTAGCCCAAATTACTGACAACTTTATGTAATTCATTTTTGGCAGTCCTAAACTGATTAATAAGGGAAGAAAGTTTATCGGAAATCTAAGTTTTATGCCTCGTGAGTTCTGTCAACACAACTTTTAAGGCACGGTTTTCAAAAAACCCTAGCCGCAATGCATCAAAGGAATACTATGCCAAAAATTGGCTATTAGCCATTGCAACTCTAATTCTCAGTAGCAATCGACCTGAAGAATATCGATTGATGAATATTGCAGTCAGTACGCAGGTACACGTTATCTGATAATTGTCCACGTACTGTTTCCGAAATATTGACATACAATAAATAAAATCTTTTTTGGTTGCACTCCAAAAACTAGTTAAACCGATTCTCGTGAGGCAATCTTTGGAAAAGATATAACAAGAGCTATAACTCAGAAATTCTACTTTTATTACAGTCTTTCACCAACATGGCCACAAAGAGGTTTATTTGGACCTGTTTGTGAGCAAATACTCTTTCTCTTTATCCATTCGGTATACGAAAGCGTGAACAGCTGCCGCTCTGGTCGCAGCAGCCACAAATGTGAATCGTTTACGCAGAAGCCTTCTAATCCACAAGATAGATATTTATTCAAGATTGGGGATACTTTGAGGTCCTCATACATTTCCTCTGTACAGATTCTGTTGGTAACGACGGAGTGCATTTTCAGATGGACATTATAAACTAGCAACAATTAAATACTGGAACTGGCAAAGCCGCGGAGAAGACTGAGGTGACAAAACAAATGAATCGCAATGGTATTTGACGGCTGGCTCAAGTGTGCAACGCTTAGCGGAGTTCTGACAAAGCATCAAAGCAGCGTCTATCACCTCTTACCATTACGGTGTGCAAAAGGGCATCAGAGAGACTGCAACTACTACTATGATGCTCTCTGCCCATCTTTTCCTCTGAAGTTTAAGCAGTCAACGGGAAAACATGAGAAACAGATGTCGAGAAACGGTAGAGCAGAAGGTTTGTGGCGGCAAATGCAGCAGCCGACCGGCAACAGTAAACCCACACTATAAATCAGGAGAACGCTTACGGCAGAGTTCTAAGGTTGAAGTCATGGACAGTTCTTCAAGAATATAGGATCGATAACCAGCTACGGGAGGAGGAAATTTAGTCCTTGAATGACTGATCAATGGCTGGCGTTCGGATTAATGACAAAAGACGATTCTTTTCAAGGTGCGTGTTGCCCATCACTAGGGGTGTACGTAATGTCTTTTTGTATCCATTGTTTCGTGGATTTGACCAATAGAAGCAGCCCATAAACAGATAATGTCTCAATTGGAAAGCTTCGACTTAGTCATTTAGTGTTAGCGGATGATCCCATCATGAACACCACGTTTCATGATGCTCCCGAAAGTGAATCTGATGACTTTGCTGCTATACGTGATGAAACTGGGAAAAATAAGCCTGTACAACACTGAGCCCTTCGTGCTCTCGGTGGCGCAATTATCTCATTCGGCAGGTAACTGGAGTGCAGCTGTAACAGAAAACAAAATAAAGTATTTCGAGTAGCACTCACGGGCAATGACATTCAGCATGTCAAAGTAGACATATGCACTGGACGGGCGAACCTCTAATGCTAGAGCTTAGCCGATCTGCGGTAACGAAGGAATTAAGAAGTAATGCGTAGTCATGTTCCTTTATCTACGTCTACGCAGCTAGCCTCATCTATGACTCAAAAGTGCTGAATATTAAATTCGGCAATGCGGTTCTCCATGCACATGGCAAAAACGAAGTTTCTTAAAAAAAATTCCCATGGCGAGACTCTATATGGTTCAGAACCAGAAAACACAATTCTAACGATTTTGAGCCCCTCCTCCTGATCGAAAAACATATGATCAAGAAGCAATTGGAACGAGTGGTAGAGCACCTTCATCTACCTGACCTAGAAAAAATCACCGGACAGATCATCGTCAGGAGTGGGAGGCCAGATTATGTAAAACATATTACATTGTCATCACTTCAGTCCATAGAGCTTGTCTAATTGGTTGAGAATCAGGATGAATTGGAAAGCTTGATACGAAGCAATTGTTCCTAAATGAATGAGTATATTCCTCTATGCAGAGGATGGAGGGATATGACGTACATCGCGCATTCTTTTGGAGTACGGAAACAGGCAGTTGCGACAAGATTAGAACACCTTAATAAGTTTCCTTTAGAGCTTGACTCATTTCGGGGCCAAATACGGCTTGACAGGCTTTCAGTCATTTTGCCATTGCCTT